TTAGTGCAATTCAGTGAGCCGGGTCTGCGACGTTGCCACATCTCACCTTGTATTAGACTATGATTTTACTCATTGAAATCTATTATTGCGATCGCACGATTAATCTGTCAAAACGTCAGACGTTGTGACGTAATTCTCGTCAGACGTAACAACAATGGCGGCTGGTCACGTGACGAGGCTACAGATAAGACGGAGGATCAGCAGAGTAGAGAGAGATAGAGTGATAGAGCTGCAGGCCTTTGACAAAAATGTACTTCCTAATGCGTTTTCACCCTCTTGCCCTGGCGTGAATAACAAACCATTTCCTATAAGTTCGTTTTTTTGTCTTGTCTAAAATTTGCCAATAGACTATTCTCAAACTGGTAATTTCGTAATCTAAAAATCTACTACAGTTCTAAGGAGACTAATACATTTCTTCTACTGATGGATGTAACCCAAAACGTTGCCTAGGTCGTATTGTGCGAGAATCGATCCTCTGTGAAACCTGTGAATTGACAAAGAGAATTAAAGAGAAGATGGGTGGGTATTACTGTCGGGTTCTGTTCTTACAACTAGTTTAAGCTGTACATCATCACTCGGTAAATAACTACGCACACTGTTTAACACGACAGCAAGAAATTAATTAAATCAACAATTTTGTTATTTTTTGCCTCTGTATATTATTGATTATTTCATGTCTTTTAAAACCTATTGTAAAAATAGTCAAAATACATAACAACAAATCATACATACATAGGAACATAATTTATTCATGGTACAAATTTTGTCAATTCATTCATAATATTAACTGGTACATTTTAAAGCTGATGATGGATGATATTGGGTTAGCTTATCATAACAATATAGATAGATGCTGGTTTATATTGACTCTGGTTTTATCTCTTGCAGCAGTTTTTTGTTGGAGGGTCTCAAAAAGTCATTGTGTGGTCCAAGCTGACCCATACTGTACACCTGTAAAATCTACTTTTAAATCGTAATTGGAAAATGTATAGCGATTTCCTCGGACGCAGTTGAGGTTTAGTGACAGTAATTTTTTTTACTGTAGTTGAAGATTTTACAGATTTTATATACGTGTTTAATAACAAATTTCTACCTATATAGTTGGTTGAGTTAGAATGTCATTTAGTATAAATAATTATTTAACTTCACACTTTAAAAACGAATTAAAAATTCATACAATCTTTCCCACATATGTTTATTTGACAGTGTACAGCGAAAGTTAAATGGTATGCGGTGCGAAGCCCCTTCAATATTCTACTGCAATATGAGCACAGCGTTCACTTTGCCTACTTGTGACTGTAGGCGCTACCAGTATTCTTGTTTCGTAGGAAATTCGTACACACTGTTAAACATTGTTTTGTAAAATCGATCGCTCTACACGTCCCTGACAATAAGATGTCTTCGTCAAATCTGACATAATTTACCTCATTATTTATTTGTTATTATATTGGCTGTACAGTATTGAAAAATTAAAATAAGGTAGGCTGTTTTGGAATTTATATTTATTTTATATATATATATAATATAATATATATATATATTATTATATATTATAAATTTATTATTATTATTATATATTATTAGGAATTTATATAAAAATTCGACATACGATTTGAAACTAGTACCATAAAGTACGTAGATTTTTTAGTATTCATTGTACGGATTAAAAAATGTGTTTGATATTATTGTTTGAAGGCCACGAGTACATTTAAGTCGAGATAAAACATATAACAATTATATTCAATGTAATATAACAGTTATTGTTTGAGCTTTGGTCAGTTATCGCATATATCACCAAGTTAGGTTGTGAAGAAAACTGTTTCCGTAGCAATCACTATTCATTGTGATGATAAAAAACAACAAATACTACTCCATTTATGTTAGGTTGAAGTCTTTAACCCCCTTTGTATGTAGATTTTTATTAATTCAATTTAAAATTCGAGACTATTAAATTTTACATTTTAAAAACGTAAAACATCATTCTTAATACATAATGGTACAACACAAAATACATTCTGCGCTACAAAAAAAAAAAAAAAAAAAAAATGCGGTTCCAAAAATATCAATTCATACAAATGTTCACATTCACACAACATCCAGTCGCGTCAAATATAACTCTGTTATTCAGTGAGCTATTGTCGATTTGACACCACATCGGGGCTACATTATGAGGCAGGCCCGTAGTGTTACCATGTAGCTATGTTGTAGCCACGGCAACGGCACGCCGCTCCACAGAGAACTGACGCTGAATACGTAAATCTGACAAACCGACAATCGATATCCTACTGTCACTTCCGGTAGTTACCTTTCCGATCCGACTATTTCCTGTGTCGGATGCTACATTTGTCGGGGATAAAGACATAAATGGGCCAAAGCGTTATTAATTGGAATTTTCAACTTATGGTCTTTAGTTTCATAACTACTCATAGTCATGAGTATCCTGTAAAAAGTTGAAGTGAAACACTTTTTCATATATACAAATTACACATTATATATGCTATGATTGTTTGTTATCTAATTTAGTTAAAAAGAGAAAGATTTGTTCGTTAAGAACAGAAAACAATTTTAATGGTTCGAACATCAAATAATCAGCTATTTACCAATTAAATTGTTAATGAGTGGTGATAATTAGTGTTTGGTACATTGAGTTGTTGCTTCACTGTCAGTGGCAATGAGAGGTTATAAACGAAATCATAACCTCTCTTAGAAGCAATGAGTAGTGATTGTTAGTAATAAAAAAACTGTTAGGCATTCGCCAAGACTAATACCTTCAATTTCTTCTCGTGTCGTTAACACTATCTTTACGTGATCGTAGCGTAAACTACTATAACTCTCTATCCCCTTGTTTTTGTTCAACTTTTCCATTTCATGATAAGGCTGCAATATACTAATCCGTTATAGGTCCTAAGTTGAATAAAGTTGCATCATTTTAGTAACGGTCTGTAGCACCGTATTAATGGCAAAAATTACCATACTTCTGTCTTAGAGTAACAAGTTCAAATCCCTCTGAACAGCGATGGCAACGTTTAATGTGGTAATTCAGTAACCTGACGAGTAAAAAGCCACCGTAAGCTTAGGGACCCTTAATTATAGTGTTTTTATATTAAATTTTTACGCTTTGAAAGTGCTTAAAGGTCAGGACAATTGCCTTTATTTCGTCTCTAACCTCCCTTTGTGAAAATTCGCAAGTTTATTTTGATTGTAAGACCAGATTGAAAACCTATTATTTTTTGCAAATTTCTAAAAAAAATCAAAGGACTGAAATCAATATTCGTAGCTAAAAATATGACACGCATAAAGCAAAACGCATGTGCATGACTATCACGCACGTCGTAGCAAAGCGCGTTAAAATACTTTTCATGATGTTACAAACACACAATATTTTACGTTTAATCGGAAATCAAGCAGTGTAAACCTTGAACCGTGTGAGCGATCATCGCTATTGTCACATTCGGAGTCTGTTAGAATCGATTGGGGGGGGGGGGGTTAGGGGGGTTTGGAACCCTTTATAAAGCCACTAACCCCGACCTCTTATCGGTTAACGCGTCGCTGATCACTGCAACGTATTTTTACTTTTCGGATCCACAAAAATTCTCTTATCTCGTTCTTTTATTTATTGCGAAAAGTTAAATAAAGCCCAAGAGATTAGGTGAAACATAGGTAAAAAAGCTGTTAGAGTATTTGTTTCATAGTCCATTTAACTGCACGGATTGTAACATATGATAATAACGTATGTGAATTTTTGCCCCCTGATTTGTGTGTTTACCTAGGTTTCAAAAACTGTAAAATATAGTATATACCTTTATGCCTCATTATTATCTACCTTTTTATCTTGTGGTTCATTTCTAGTACTTAACATATGTGTTTCTGTTTCAGGTAGGCCTACAGTTATTTTAATCGTACTCGAGCATAACTAGGTAAAACAACTATTATTACTTATATTTTTATACTGTACATTCAATTGTGTATTGATCAATTGATCATTGTCGATCCATTTTGCCCGTCAAACCAATATTCTTTCATTAATGACATGGAAGTTTATTGTTCTTGACTATTAAGCAAAGTCTAAATTGACTTAAAAGACTTATAACAAAGCAATGACCAAATTATAGGAAGGTTCTGTGATCTAATAAGTTCGTACAAAACTTTGTTAATAAGAGCTCAAAATACGTGTATATAATTACCAAAGTCTCCAGTGCTACATGAAACTAGGGTATGCATGCCAAAGAGAGCCAACACTCCTGGGACTATTAAACATGTTTAACGAAGAATTATTATTTAGGTAGGCCTACTAAATGTTAGTAATGTATTTATGTTTAAAAACAATTCCCTATCCCCCCAATGTTGAGGCTAAGTATTTACAAGTAATATAACTAACTAGTGCACTTGTTGCTCGAATTCAAGCAATTGCAAATTATTACAGGCGTTATTTCAAAACTAATAACAGTCACAATTTCCGATTAGGTACTTAAAAGAGTCAACTCACAAAGATAATGTAATCAATCACTCCACTCCAGTTATCGAAACTGGAAACGAACTCACTCGAAAACGAACGCTCTTGTGTGTATCAATGGTTTACTGTGAACAGCTGTAATTGATAAAAATTATTCGTCTGTTTAAGTAAACAAAATCTTTTCTTCATAAGAAATACATTGGGATTTTGATGGCCAGTGGGGCAAAGCCCAATGACTTTTATTACAGGAATTGGTGAAAGTGGGCGTATACACAAAAAATACTGAATTTTGACACATCGTTTGTAAAAATCCGTCCATTATTAACGGAGGAGTAGTGTTTCATAGAAATCGCCTTCACGTATTATATATAAGGATCGGTTATAAACATTAAATTGTATATAATATATGTATATTTTCAACAAAAAATCATGATTCACTACTTGTCTGAAGAAAAAAATAGGTGGTAAAACAGTGAAATGTTACTGAAACTGTTCAAAAGATTACTCCTTAGAAAACGAATACTGAAAGATAAAATTAGTCAAATCCCTAGAGACCCAAGTCAAGCAAGACTTGGCTGTCTCGGCACGTGCAGCCTGCGTGGCAGATTGGGCTGATTGTGTAAACAGAATACATCTCGACCTGGACAAAGTGTAAAATTAGAAACTCTTAAAACTCATCTTAAAGTTTCTAACGTTACAAATTCCTATGGTGACGATAAGACTTTTTTATGTTTGCTAGTTTAAATATACCTTACCCTTTTCCAAGTTATTCTTACTTTTTTACAGTAAAAAATTCAGCCTTCAACTGTCTATTCTAAAAATAATATACTCCCTTTTTTATCCAGACGAGGTGATTGCAAAGTTACCTACCTTTGTAAAAGATAACACCATACAACTCATCCAAACCATTTACTGTTCGACTACGATTTTAGAAAATCTAACATTTCTGTAACCTTGGTTATGTTTGGTTTTATGTTGCCCTATCGATTATTTTCCACTAAAGATGAACAAATAGGTGAAACAATTGATATGAAAAGATTCAAAATGTTTCAAGTAAGAATGAAACTCTTTAGGCCCTCCTGAAGACGGGGTAAACTTTAAGATCCTGAAACGTCACATTATTTTGTGTAACTAATCAATTATAAAAAATATCTACAATAATCTTTTAAAAACTCAAATTGAACTCTCACAGTATTGAAATCGGTCCTCATGTAGTTTACTTAGCTTCTGTGTCAACATATGTGAAAGTTCACAAGCAGTAAATGTCTTTAGAAGGTTTGTCAAAAGATTGACAAGTTCGTCGCAGACATGACACGCCACGTGTTTCTACCTTGCTCTTTACTCCCCCCCCTCTACCCCTCTACCCCCCCACTCTACCACTCATTGCATGTCTCATTGTGGATTTGCGTGATTAGCAAAGTGGCAATAATTGCACACCTTATAATGCATGAGTGCTGTCTTGTATTATTAAAGGGTACGTTTGTTTCAATTTATCTGTGGAACAGCTCGACGATTCATCCATCCATGGGTAGTCGTGTACTAAAAAGATTATTGTTGCTACATGTATTTATTTTATATTTATATCTTCTTAGGAGATGCAAGACTAGCTTGGCCATTCTGCTTTGGATACACGAGTTCAAATCATGTCAATCACTAATTAATGTCTCCCTAAAACAAATATTTTATGGCACATAAATGGACCTAATAGCACCCATGTCGACCTATGTGTTGGTCCGATGGTTCGAAACCCATATTATACCCATACTATGGTGAGTCGGTGGCTCAGTTGGTAGCGTCACAGACTTCGGGCCCGTGGCAGCAGTGTCGTGGGTTCGGATCCTGGTCACTGCCACGAACTTTTATCAGTACAGTTCACCTTTGTACTGTACCGGCTCAACCCTTGCTTTGCTGGATACGTCCCACGCACAGATCTGTAGTCTATGTGGACGGGAAAATGCAAGGTTAAAAGAGGCCGCCAACCTCTATAAAAGAAAAAAAATATTAAGTTGTAGAGCTTATCCTTAAAGATAAAACACAGGTTTTTTTTGGCAAGAAGAGATTTATATTTATTGGAAATTTTTCAACCCTAAAAGTTTTACTAAGGTTTAAGGATTTGTGTAAAGCCTAGGTTTACAAACTGTATATATTGTCCGTCCTTTAGCACAAATCGCCAACCAATAAAAATGGAAAAAATAAATGATAATTTTTATTTTTACATAATATTCACTTAGAAACAAATTTGTTCTTCCCTATAATTTAGAGTTCTCAAAATATCTGGAACTATTGTTTTGCTTGTATAAAGGTAGTGAGAAATGAACAGCAATTTAGAATCTGTGACATTTCTTTATGTTATTTTGTGTTCAATACATATCAGGATAAAAGTAGGACGTACAAACTTTAATGTACATACTTTTTTGTGGTCAAAATCTATCAATTTCAAACTTGAAAACAACAAGGTGTTTTCAATTAATTTATTTTCCATTAATTCACTAACATTACTTTTTTATTGCAATTCCGTTTCTTCACTAGCAGAATGTTTTCATAATCAGCAATTTTGGTTGGTCAGGTTAGCTCAGAATAGTTTATTTTGACGTAATTGAGGCTAACTGTAAAAATATCGGTTATAGGTAATTTTTAAACTCAAATGTTAGCAGACATATGCGTTTAAATTACATTAAATAACATTTAAATTATTCTTACTATTTATCCTTTCAATTGCATTACTCTAGGATTTTTCAAAAGGTTTTTCAGAGTTTTAAGAGTCGCTGGCTATAAAATAGTACAATATTCAACGCTAACGCGTTACAACCAGGTGAGCTACAGACATGAACATGAGCACTGGATTGGACTGTGTTTGCGTTTCGTTTATTCCATTCTCTGCTGCAATTGAAATGTAGATAACTGTGAGCTTTATTGTTTGAAACATTGTCCGAACCGTGGAAATTGCTTCAGTGAACAATACCCAGTTAGCATGCCAATGTCTGTGTTTTCTCATTTTGTAACTTAAAATGCAAAACAACAAATTGGCTTTGGTAGTTGCGAAATAGATGGCATTCAGTTTTTAAAATATCTGCTGTTGACGTATTCACCACCTTACTAATATTTTACATGCGTACTTCCAGGACGTGGACGAAAGTACACTCCACAGATTTACTAAAAGAAATAATGCAATGCATGCAACTATTTATTGTGATAAATAATAAAAGTCCAGTGCGTTGATAAATCTATAATCATTTGCAAACCCTGGTCACATTTAATGGTCATCTGTAGTTACTGTACATGATTTTTCTGTGAATGGGAATCTAAAAGAACAGCCACCTAAACCCCCTGATATACTCAAACCCAAAACATACATAACAAATAAATATACTTTACAATTAAAAGTTTTTCAAAATCACTGCCAAATGAATAATGAGTGTACATAAAAGAATTTTAGTAATCTTTTAAGAATCCCTATCGCCCTCTTTCAAAAGTTCCAAACACTCTTTAGGTATCGATTCTGTGCTAACAGCTATTTGTTCTGAAATACCCCCCAGAGATTAATGGGATATATCAATTGACTTTGTTTAATTAAAAAAATTATTGGTTTCATATCACAAAATAAACATAAAACAAAACAATTGTCCTACTAATTTCACATCTGTATTTGAGATTTGAAATATCATAGAGCTAATACCAAACAAGTCCATCGGTGAGTGAGCTGGTCTGGTGGTAGAGCACGGAACTTCAATCCCTGATATCCCGGGTTCAAATCCCACCAAATAAACAATGGATTTTATCTGTGATAATGCCGCAAACCCTAGGTCTAGTATGAAGTAATTTGAAAACTAATCCTGGGCTCGTAGCGTCATAGAACAAAAAAACCACGCCAGTTCATACAACGCAAGTGTTGGCTTTTGTGTATCAGTTGTAATATACAACCCCTATCCTGTGTTTAGCATACAAAGCTGTGGTGCGTGTCCTGCGGAGGTTTGACTGGTTGACAACACGATAACTTGGTCTTGCTTGACATGTCAAACAGTCAAAACTTTCGTCCTTTCTATTCCTTGTAAATAGCGTCACATCCGTACACATACTATATTTTAGGAGTGAATTCAAAAACTGACTAAGAGTTGTTTCAATTATTTATCTGCAGATCAAACTACGCTTGCCCAAAGAGTTGAGCTTTTAGAAACATAATACCAAAAGTATTTTTAAAGTTTAGCAGGGGAACGGTCCAAACACTCGTCTTAACAATAACTAACGTCAACCATTTTAATGTATAATATCATTAATTAAAGGTCTAATCACTAATGGGGTATAAATTGGTCCCGCTCAGGATCGAACCAGAAAACTTCAGGTTTGAAGGCTAGCCTAACTACTCAGCCAAATAGATATAAGGACTCTTCACTTCTAATAACCGCTTCTTCAAAAGGGATTTCTTTATAATCGCATTTCATCTCATATTATATAGACTATTTTTAGATTGAAAAAGTCCAGTAAAAAGATACAGCTTCATATGAAAACTTGGCACTGTTACTCACATTTTGATCCTAGCCAGCGACCTAGAAACCCAAGTTTGGCAATCAATACAGCTAGCCTGGACAATCGTTCTTCCTTATTCCTTTGTGTCTTCTCATCGTCTTTTAATTCACAATTTAAAGAAGGAATGCAGTTTTTTAAGCACTATAATACTTTTACACGAATAATGAAATTTCTGGAGCTATCTTTGTAAGCAAAAGATATTTTCGACGTAACTATGCAGTATAAATTTTCATATCAACAAGCGAAATAATTTTTTTATATATTTATATAACACACACAATATGATTGAGAGAGTGGTGAATTTCCCTCCAAATTGCACTCTCCCGCCATTTATACCGCGTGTTCATGACACTTATGACTTTATTGTCCACTCTTTGTTGTGCTGATGTTAAAGCACAGCTGTCGGTCAACTTGACAGATTCAACAAGAACATTTTATCGTCAAAAAATTTACAATAAACTAAAAAAAAAAACAGTACTTTCACCACATTGTTGGAGAAAGTAAATAGGTTCACGAAAATGTTAATGGTCTATATTAAATCTTGGAAAAGTAAAATGTTATAAAAACTTCCTGACATGACTCAAAATGTCATAACTATTTCCGTGATTTTCAAAGTTTTCATTCTTACTTTGAAATTGGATAGAATATTTGGAATCATCTGACAACCGGATTAACTATACGTGCTGATCTACCTGTTTTGGTCTAAACTTTGGTGTACATTACACCCCATGGCACAACTAGTGGTAGGTAATAGGGCGGTTATACAGGCACCCTTAGGGTGCAATACCCTTCCATAATAGCCCCTTAGGGACTAGTTACAGGTACGTATTAATTGTCCTGCCCTTTAGGATTTCATGGTAAACCACACTCACTGAATTGTGCGTTAGATTGAACTAAACTGACAATTTAACCAATTATATTGTCTGATAGAATCTTGGAAAAATACCAACGATTGTTAGATAAAAAATACAGTATTCGTAATCAATTTTTTTATGCTTCGTGGATTAGTTAAGGATAGTTTGACGTATTTTCTATCCGATATGTGTAGAGTTGCTTTTGATGTTAAGTGTTTATTTATCTTTATCACACTAACTTGTTAAATACTTGATCCAAAAT